GACTGTATCACTTTTTCATGTGTAAGAATTCGGTATAAATAATTATTATTGTATTTTCGCGCTTATTTTGAACATATTTACCAAAATATGGCAATAAATATATTTATCCACATTTCACCAAGTTACGAAAAACTCAAAGAAGCTCATTCTGTCCTATTAATATTTCTCTCCTTCGAAACAAATACATTTGTTCAACGTTTTCTGTCTGGAACTTGTGCATTTGTTCATCAACTTTCCCCCTTAACACCTGTACTTGTTTAAATGTTCTCCACTGAACGCCTGCATGTGTTCAGCCTTTACCTAAGGCTGCAAGGTAAACCATTTACCTTTACCTCAAAGGAGCTTTCTGATCAACCAGCGAGTATTCTTTACTTCTGAAGGGAGACCACGACAAAAGTTTACCTTGTGTATATGCATGTATATGCGTGTATATACCCATGTGTATTTGCAACGAGACGAGAGGTACACAAGGGAATGTTGAGGGGGGTGAAAAGGGAGACAGGAGGGGGAAAAGGGAGAATAGAAAGGGTGTAGGAAGGTGGAAACAGGGGATAGAGTAGAAGGGGTTTGGGAGAGACGACACAATTCCAGGCACCATAGGGTTGCCCTCTTTGCGTGCATATAAATAAAATGTATTTGTACGGTCCTGGAGGCCAGATGGGGGAGGGGGGGGGGAGACTATTCCAGAGATCGCTCGGTCACCAACCCAAGGTATATCTATACTCGTGTGTTTGTTTGAGTGAATGTTTGCTATATCTTGAGGTTATCTTGAGATGATTTCGGGGCTTTAGTGTCCCCGCGGCCCGGTCCTCGACCAGGCCTCCACCCCCAGGAAGCAGCCTGTGACAGCTGACTAACACCCAGGTACCTATTTCTATTTTACTGCTAGGTAACAGGGGCATAGGGGGAAAGAAACTCTGCCCATTATTTCTCGCCGGCGCCCGGGATCGAACCCTGGACCAAAGGATCACAAGTACAGTGTGCTGTCCGCTCGGCCGACCGGCTCCCTATGTAGAATATAGTTGTGACCTAACACCAATATGGAAGCAGCAAGAGGAAGTATGAGCCAATAGGCCTTCTGCAGTTGTTCTGTTCATATGTTCTCATACCAATTGTTTCGTGTTCTGTCTTATGTTTCACCTCACCCAAAACTTTTGTTCCATATCATCTCACCCAAAAACGATTATAAATATGAATGTATTTTGAGTGTAAATTAAATCTTTGAAAATGTAATAAGGAACTACGAAACGCGTTTAGGCGTCAGACTAGGAATAAAAAGAATGAATTTTGGAGAGTTATTGTATCTTTTACCCTCGACAATGAAGAAGAACATAAGAAATATTGAAAAGATTCGTGTTAGAACTCTTAATCTTTCCCTTTCGGTCCTATTCAACAACACACACACACACACACATATATATATATATATATATATATATATATATATATATATATATATATATATATATATATATATATATATATATATATATATATATATATACCGTACAAAAGATGATGGTAGCCGAGGCTGTTTGCTCACCTGTACACCAGTTGCATAGTGATATATATATATATATATATATATATAAATGGAAATGTTCGTTTGTTCATAATCGCTAATCTCTGAAAGTTCTTCACAGGTTGCTTTGAAATTTTTACACAACGTTCCATTGGCATCCGAGCAGGTCTTTATATACATACAATATAGATGTCATGTCTGTGACGGTAAAAAACATGCTTAAAAAAAACTTTTTCATGTGAGAGAATCTTTGAAACCTCTTTACTGATTGCTTTGAAATTTTGACACAACGTTGCATTCGAATAGGCGCGTCTTTTTATATACCAACTTTATACGTGCCTCATCTGTGACAGGAAAAAAACAAGTTAAAAAAAAAACAGCGCCATTTGTTGGACGTAAGAGCAACGCATGTTGTAATCTCCAAAAGTTCTTCACCGATTGCTTTGAAAATTTGACACAATGTTCCATTCGAATACGCGCGCGTTTTTATATTCCTACTATATTGATGCCACCCCTGTGACAGGTAAAAACATGCGTTTTTGAAAAACAGCACCATCTGTTGCACATAAGGTCAACACACGCTATACTATATATGTTATGATTCCATTTCAGTGTTTCCGATTTCATAGATAAATGGAATTTTCATAAATTTTGATTTATTTTCATTTTGATTCAATTATTTTGTGTGACATTGCGTTGGAATTGAGCTGTTTTGTTTACCATACTGTTCATTTCGTGAGTATAATTTATTTTTTTTATTTTTGTTAGTGTTATAAACAGCCTCCTGGTGCTTCGGGGCTCATTAACCGTTTAATAATTGTAAACAAAGCCACCATAGATTGAGAAAAGATGTACAGGTTTGCAAGTGTTTGCGTAATTTCTTCGTGAATCTTGCCCCAGATCATTTGATGTTCCCAATTTTCTGATGGGAACATCAGATCATTTGTTCATCAGACGAGGAAGTGGGGAATGGTGGGAAGGACGAGGGGATGGAGTGAGGGATGATGGGGAGGAAAAAGGGACGAGGTAGTGAGGAATGGTTAGGAGGACGAGGGGATGGGGGAATGGTGGGGAGGACTGAGAGACAGTGAAAGGTTGCTGTGGCTCAGCAACACGCATGCGTTGCTGAGCTACAGGAACGCCTGGCCAGGAACAATTAGTGTATGTATATATATGTAAATGTTCGTTTGACCAAAATCGCTAATCTCCGAAAGTTCCTCACCGATTGCTTTCACATTTTCACACAACGTTGTATTCACATTCGAGCGGGTTTTTATATACATATTACATAGATGTAACGTCTGTGATGAAATTTTTTTTTTTTTTTTAACTGTTTTTCATGTATTTTTCATGTGAGGGAAATGTTCAAAACCTGTTTACCGATTGCTTTAAAATTTTGACATAACGTTACATTGGAAGAGGCGCGTGTCTTTTTTTTTAAATGGCAACCTCTGTTGGACGTAGGAGCAACACACTCTGTAATCTCCGAAAGTTTTTCACCGATTGCATTGAAATTTTAACACAACGATCAGTTCAAATACGCGTGTTTTTATATACCTACAATATAGATGCCACACCATTGACAAGTAAAAACTTTTTTTTTTTAAATAGCGCCATCTCTTGCACGTAATAGCAATACATGCTATACTAAATATGTTATGATTCTATTTTAGTGTTTTCGATTGCATTGACAAATTGAATTTCCATAGATTTCGATACATTTTTATTTAATTATATTGTGTGACATTGCGTTGGAATTTAGCTGTGTTGTTTACAATACCGTTTATTCCGCGAGTATAAGTATAGATGCCTCACCGGTGACAGGTAAAAACATGTTCTTTTTTTAAAAAATAGAGCCATCTGTGGCACGTAAGAGCAACACATGCTATAACCCCTCTCCCCCTACCCCCACCTTAACTACTTTCATACCCTACCCCCCCCCACACCTTAACCCCTTTAATCCCCTACTCCCCACACATTAATTAACCACTCATCCCCCACACCCACGCCTTAACCACTCATCCCCACATCCCACACCTTAACCCTTCATCCCCTACCCTCCAAACCTTATCCCCTCTCATCCCCTATCCCCTTAACACCCCCTTACCTCTCCCTCATTAACTCCCCCTCTTACTCCCCCCTACCTCCGGCGTCTGCTCCCTCTCCCCTCTCACACTCCATCTGTTGATAAGTCGGTGTCGTTTGAAGCTTAACGTTTTAAAGTCCGTTTATTCTTTCTGGCACAAGGTGAGGGGGAGAAGAGAGGAGCCAAGGTAGAGACAGAGAGAAGGGGGAATGTCGGAGAGAAGTAGAGGTGCGGGGAAGATGAAGAGGGAAGATGTGGATAATGAGATAACCTTGGGGCATGAGAGGCAATGTAATTAGCATGGCGGTGGAATGTAGTGAACATTGATCCGGGGAAGGTGAGTTCGGCGGCAAGATAGAGAATGCAAGAGAAAAAGAGAGAGAGAGAGAGAGAGAGAGAGAGAGAGAGAGAGAGAGAGAGAGAGAGAGAGAGAGAGAGAGAGCGAGCGAGAGAGCGAGCGAGCGAGCGAGCGAGAGCACAAGAGAGAAAAAGAGCGAACGAGAGAGAGCGAGAGAGAGCACAAGAGAGAAAAAGAGAGCTAGAGAGAGAGAGTGTAGTATAGTCAATGTGTCCGTGACTGGAATGTATCAAGATCAACCAAGAGGCCGACACCGTAGTCACGCTCATATTCAATTTTTTGCCAAGTTTCCCCTGGCTACAAGGCGCCTGCCGCCCCTGCTAGTCCCAGCACAACACGGCCCCTTAACACGATGATCCAGAGTCAGTACACTGTCTTCTATATTTCCAACAGCTATGGCTTGTCATAGGCTGGAGCACGAAGCATGTAAGGACCACTACTTGCCATTTTCCCGTACCACGATGCAACCCACAACAGTTTGCAGACTCAAGGGTGAGAGAAAACTTTAACAACTGTATCCTGGCGCGGGGACCGAACCTGGGACCTCAGACTTGTGAGCCAAATATGCCGCCTGACTGCTATAGCACAGAAGTATGTTTTTGGAGACAGTTAGGGAACTTCATATAATTTTTTGTGGCTATATAATTGGCGCTATATATACAAATGATGAATTAATTACATTGCGAGTCACGAGTGTTATTTTATTTTTTGACAAATGATGCGGTAGTCTGACATGTTCGCAGTTCAACATTAATTTACATAAAAAAAACATGTTTAATATTTTCCGTTGCATATTCAACGGTAAATAAACACATGAGCCCAACCATCCCAACACACACCTCAAAGTTTACAGTCGTCATCACGGTCTGTACAGAAAACATATGAAAATACTTTATTATTAATTTTTTGGTTTACACACAAACACACACACACACACACACACACACACACACACACACACACACACACATACAGTACGTGACTTCTTCAGAAACTTGGTCAAGGAGGCGTTCCGGAGCCCTATTAAAGCGAAGATGAGACCTACTCTTGAATACGACTCCCCAGCATGGGATCCTTACCTGGAAAATGAGAAGGAGAAATTAGGAAAGATCGAAACGGGACTCGTTCCTGAGCTGAAGGGATTGAGCTATGAGGAAAGGCAAATCGCGGGCTTCCTTAACTCTTACGAGCCAATCTCGGGTATTTCGATCTTCAAAAAAACACTGTATATAACAGCAGCTAACACACACTGCTCAGATCGATGGCGGTTACTTAGTCTTCTCGTAGGACCAAGCAAAGAGTTCATGGACTGCCCAAGGTAAACTACCCTCTTCAGCTCAATCGCCTCCATATGTCACCTCTTTGGACATAGAAACGTCATTAGCTAGATGGCCAGTACACTAGGTAACCCTGGGCTAATACTCATTCACCGGGGACTTGACATTGTGACTTGTAGCCACAACCTAGATGGCGTTGATCTTGATACGCCACCCACCAGAGGTCATCCACATCGACCCCCCATTCTGACTGAGACAGGAAACCAGAACCATTAGCTGATGTCAGGCCACCACCAACAGATGGCGTTGTCTACATAGCGCCCAATACTAGGGGAGTTGGACGGCAGACTCATAGATGGCGCTGAAATTGCCACTCCACACTCCGACGATGGTGTCGATACCGTAACACGGAGCTACTTGATTAAACTTGAAACGGCAGAACTACCTGTCGTTTCTCATTGTGACCACCTGTTCAAGCTTCTACATAGGTAGGAGCTACAGTTGAGCTGTAGAGATGTCGGGGGATAACTTGTTAGTACAAGAGCTACAAGTAAACTTAGCGGGCTACAAGAGATCATTGATGCAAATCATGAAAGAATGAGAAGGAAATTCGATAGTAAGTCTGAAAATGAAAGGCTCTCCATTTAACTGGCCAAGACTTGGGAAGGCAACGCTATACATCGATTTTTCAACTTTGTAAACGCAAGTCCAACCACTTGGGCTGGACGGTAGAGAGACGGTCTCGCTTGAGATTCGGTGAGATCACACACACACACACACAGTAATAATAATAATAATATTAGTTTATTCAGATAAAAGTACAAACAAAATGAGTTACAAGGAGAATGTTGGATCTCTCGACAGAGGTAGTATATACAATGCTTAAAGTCACTAATATGCTCAGCATTAGGGGCCAATTACACGAGAGGTAATGCAGACAGTATGGGACCTCTCGGGGTAATGATGAAAAGCCTATCATATAAGAGCAAAACTTCTAGTCACGGGAGAACAGAACAGGAGTTAGCTCACGGGAGAGAAGGAGTACAATATGAGTAGAGCTAATCACTAGAAGGCTACAATGTGAGTAGAGTAGGAGGAGCAACAGGAGGAGACAACATTTGGTCTCTGTTGCTCCTCCTGTAAAAACAGGAGTAACAACAGAGACAGAATATGAGGATGACAGGAACCACAGAAGGAGACTCACCCAAACTTATATGAGAGTTGTTCCTACGCTTTCCCCCCATTACTGTGGGATAATATTACTATGTGAGGCTGTATAAACTGTGGAGATAGAGGTGACATAATAATGTAGGGGAATAATTAGTGTTGATATTGAGAGTCAACATAAATATTGTGGAGGAGGTAGAATCGAGAAGCGATCTGCTTCCTCCTCTTTGTAGTGGAAATTTCCAGGTAAAATCGCTAAGTTCAAACCCCCCACTTGACTCCCTCTTGAACCACACTTGGCCAAGCGCTAATTAGTCTGGCCCCTTTTCTTGCTTAATCATTTACCAATTACCTTATGTATCACCTCTCAACAACTCTACCAATTAATTTCACTACATGATTGTGGGAACCGAACTGTGAGATATATATTTATTTAATTTATATGGATTTTTATAGAATTTATATTTACGTTAATTTATATATTTCGATAGCAATTGGTATGATGTTAAGTGGACTGTATTTCTGCCATATTTCTCACAAATCGATCCTTACACATTAGGGAGGTTTATATTAAATTTATATATAAGCAGCCAATCAAACTACAGTATTAAACTACATATATTAGTATATAAAATTGGGGGGTGCCTTATCTTATTGTACAGCAGGCTTAGTCCACCAGGTATAACTAGGATATAGACACCAAATTATCCTCGTGAGAGGCTAGCTTCCATCACTCAAGTAACTGTTGTACCAAGATTAATTTTTGCTTCCTCTTCTTGTTCCTGTCAAAGGGCACTAGCTGTAGAGCCGGAATCCTAATATATGACAGCTATATCAGAGGAAACACTGTATTTATATAAGATAAGGACCAAGGCTTAATTACCTGTATTTAGAGGCTCTTTCTCATGCTAACCGGTTCGCCCCTTTATCTACCTAACATTGACTGGCCAGAAATGATTAGATAAACGGGTTTCGGTTAGACACTTCCCTTGTTTATGTTGACAGCGTGTTGATGATGGTTGAACACTAATTTGGTCTCCATAATACTTCGTCCAAAGTAATTATAAGAGCTGAATTTGCTCCCCAGCACCTCTGGTCTTAACAAACAATGACTGACCTCTCTCACCACACTGACGCTACTGGCTCAATTTGTCCAGATGTCAGTAAGTGATAGAAGGGTCACATTTACTCTATTTTGATACTGATAGTTAAGTTAATTCAAATGAGAGGTTTTTATGATGTAATAAGTCCAAAAACTAATGTATTTAAGAATAATTCCCAACAGAATAGCTGGTGAGTTTATAGTACTATGTGGCAATGATATCCCGTTTTCTATTGACGGAAAATTCCACTACAAGCTACATTTTCTATGGGTTAACTTGTGTATACAACAGCAGCAATATTATCTGCATATTGCATGTAATATTATTAAATAGTGTCGGGTTTTCCGACAATGATTCATAAATCTATAGCATTAAATGTTGCTGGTTTCTGTAAACAAAATACTTGGTCCATCATGGACTCCAAAACAGTCTAACAAGGTAGAGAGTATGACAGTGTTTTGTTCTGAAAGTACATCCTCAGACTTGATGTTAAACTTTAGTCCATTATGTATTCTATCCTCATGGCGCTCATTACACAACTTTCTCGTGGCCAACATTGTTGTCGTGAGTATGTGGCCTCCGTTGTCAATAACCCAACTCGGCCTCGTTACTTATACGTACTAATGCTCAAAAACTTTAGAAATCTGATATAAAGAAATCTTATTTCTTTAGAAATAAAGAAAACTTTACGGTCTGGGAAAAGTCGCGGTTCACAAATCTCTATGATTTCTATCAAACGCTAGTTAAAGTTAGGTTAGGTGGGTTGGTCGGGTTGGTGAGTTTCTGGTTAAGTTAGAACGTTGCGTTTTGGATGTTTTGGCATATCAAGAGAACTGGCTCCATGTTGACATAAGAATTATAGTGACTACTATTTCCATTACTTTGTTTCAATATCCAATCAATAACTTAGCTAGTATGACCTGGATACGCCCACAACAGCCCTGTGACTCCTCTGTGGAAGAAATAGAAAATTAGAAATTCTAGCGCCGTGGTCTGATTGCTTTCATCTAAACTAATATATTATTTCCACGACTCCACACCTCCTCACGTGGTGGTGAAGCTCCACATTCTAATCACACCTTGATCCACATTCCCTCCACCTGCTACTTCACTAGCCATCAACCACAGCTTGACCACATTCCCTCCACCTGCTACTTCACTAACCATCAACCTCAGCTTGACCACATTCCCTCCACCTGCTACTTCACTAGCCATCAACCACAGCTTGACCACAGTCCCTCCACCTGCTACTTCACTAGTCATCAATCACAGCTTGACCACATTCCCTCCACCTGCTACTTCACTAGTCATCAATCACAGCTTGACCACAGTCCCTCCACCTGCTACTTCACTAGTCATCAACCACAGCTTGACCACATTCCCTCCACCTGCTACTTCACTAGTCATCAACCACAGCTTGACCACATTCCCTCCACCTGCTACTTCACTAGTCATCAATCACAGCTTGACCACATTCCCTCCACCTGCTACTTCACTAGTCATCAATCACAGCTTGACCACAGTCCCTCCACCTGCTACTTCACTAGTCATCAACCACAGCTTGACCACATTCCCTCCACCTGCTACTTCACTACCCATCAACCACAGCTTGTCCACATTCCCTCCACCTGCTACTTCACTAGTCATCAACCACAGCTTGACCACAGTCCCTCCACCTGCTACTTCACTAGTCATCAACCACAGCTTGACCACAGTCCCTCCACCTGCTACTTCACTAGTCATCAACCACAGCTTGACCACAGTCCCTCCACCTGCTACTTCACTACCCATCAACCACAGCTTGACCACATTCCCTCCACTTGCTACTTCACTAGCCATCAACCTCAGCTTGACCACATTCCCTCCACCTGCTACTTCACTAGTCATCAATCACAGCTTGACCACATTCCCTCCACCTGCTACTTCACTACCCATCAACCACAGCTTGTCCACATTCCCTCCACCTGCTACTTCACTAGTCATCAATCACAGCTTGACCACATTCCCTCCACCTGCTACTTCACTAGTCATCAATCACAGCTTGACCACAGTCCCTCCACCTGCTACTTCACTAGTCATCAATCACAGCTTGACCACATTCCCTCCACCTGCTACTTCACTACCCATCAACCACAGCTTGTCCACATTCCCTCCACCTGCTACTTCACTAGTCATCAATCACAGCTTGACCACATTCCCTCCACCTGCTACTTCACTAGTCATCAATCACAGCTTGACCACAGTCCCTCCACCTGCTACTTCACTAGTCATCAACCACAGCTTGACCACATTCCCTCCACCTGCTACTTCACTAGTCATCAACCACAGCTTGACCACATTCCCTCCACCTGCTACTTCACTAGTCATCAATCACAGCTTGACCACATTCCCTCCACCTGCTACTTCACTAACCATCAACCTCAGCTTGACCACATTCACGGACTGAAACTCTACGGTCACTACTCACACAAATCATCTAGACATTACAAGCAACAGTGTTAGGAAATACGTTCTGACAGACAGACAGACGTTCGGAAACGTCTCTGTCTGTCTGTCTGTCTGTCTGTCTGTCTGTCTGTCTGTCTGTCTGCCTGTCTGTCTGTCTGTCTGTCTGTCTGTCTGTCTGTCTGTCTGTCTGTCTGTCTGTCTGTCTGTCTGTCTGTCTGTCTGTCTGTCTCTCCGTTTCTCACTCTGGCTCCCTCCGTCTGTTGTCATGTCATGCCAAGATATATCAAAGTAAGATAGAGCAGAATCAAAGAAAATCAGAGCAGCAAAACGAGTATATGCCTCAATAAGGCCAAAAAACAACAGAAGCAGTATAGAAATCCCTGCAAACAGCGCACAAAAACAATAATGTTTTTTACCGCTAATCCATTGACCCCAGGCAGGAGTCGATGGATTATTAACCAGCTTAACACTCCCTCCCCTGACAGTATTGTCCATGGAATCACCGGAGCCAGTACCTGGGTGGGAATCCAAAGGAGCCCTGTAGAGATGAATATTGTTTAAAGTCATTGACGCGCATGGAGATCGAATTACAATTAATAGGGAAACAAATATAGGAAAGGGTTACAAGAGGATCCACAGAATATTGGAATAACAGAAACGAAACTGACAAGTGTATGTTGGTGGTAACTGACAGGTGGTGGTTATGTGGTAACACAACTGCTCCAACTACACAGGAACTTCGAAGAAGTGAAACTGTCAGAGGAACCTGATCAGCAAGAATACATAACATACTTGCAATAACATTAGCGGGACATGAAGCTAGTCGTAGCAAGGGCTTACAATCCCAAACCACAAAAGAACTAGGGAAGAATACGATAAATGCTACGAAATGTGTCTCAAGGAAATTGAAAAAAAAATCGTCAGTGGCAAATGGGACGAGAAACACGATTCTCATAATTAGGGATTTCAATCACGGAGAAATAATCTGGATAAATAGGGACATCCACGGGGGTGATGATACATAGAGCAAACTGGCTGATAGACACAGTGGAGAAGAACTTCATGAAAGAACATAACTCAGAGACAAGAGGAGTGTAGGGAGAGGATCAGCCACCAGCACTAAGACTTGGGGTTTGTCCAAGATGAGACGGATGCTCAGAAGGTATAGTTTGGGATGCCCCTAGTGGTTAGTGATCACTGCATCATTATACTAGTGGTTAGTGATCACTGCATCATTATACCGGTGGTTAGTGATCACTGCATCATTATACCGGTGGTTAGTGATCACTGCATCATTATACTAGTGGTTAGTGATCACTGCATCATTATACCGGTGGTTAGTGATCACTGCATCATTATACCGGTGGTTAGTGATCACTGCATCATTATACTGGTGATTAGTAATCACTGCATCATTATACTAGTGGTTAGTAATCACTACATCATTATACTGGTGGTTAGTAATCACTGCATCATTATACTAGTGGTTAGTGATCACTGCATCATTATACTAGTGGTTAATGATCACTGCATCATTATACTGGTGGTTAGTAATCACTGCATCATTATACTGGTGGTTAGTAATCACTGCATCATTATACTGGTGGTTACCCGCCAAACACACACCGGAACTACGACGTTGGTACAACGTTCGAATGAAATTTAGCACCATCTAACCAGTTATAACCACCAATATAGCAAATTGTAACAACGTTCTAATACGTCGTTAACACGTTAAGCCAAGTTGTAGCAACTTTATTACAAGTTGTAACAAGCGGAAAATAGAGACAGTTTCGGTTTGTGTTTCCAGGGTAGTGATCACTGCATCATTATACCGGTGGTTAGTGATCACTGCATCATTATACTGGTGGTTAGTGGTGACTGCATCATTATACCGGTGGTTAGTGATCACTGCATCATTATACCGGTGGTTAGTGATCACTGCATCATTATACCGGTGGTTAGTGGTGACTGCATCATTATACTGGTGGTTAGTGATCACTGCATCATTATACTAGTGGTTAGTGATCACTGCATCATTATACCGGTGGTTAGTGGTGACTGCATCATTATACTGGTGGTTAGTGATCACTGCAACATCATACTGGTGGTTAATGTTCACTGCATCATCATACTGGTGGTTAGTGATCACTGCATCATCATTCTGGTGGTTAGTGATCACTGCATCATCATACTGGTGGTTAGTGATCACTGCATCATTATACTGGTGGTTAGTGATCACTGCATCATCATACTGGTGGTTAGTGATCACTGCATCATCATACTGGTGGTTAGTGATCACTGCATCATTATACTAGTGGTTAGTGATCACTGCATCATTATACTAGTGGTTAGTGATCACTGCATCATTATACTAGTGGTTAGTGATCACTGCATCATTATACTGGTGGTTAGTGATCACTGCATCATTATACTAGTGGTTAGTGATCACTGCATCATTATACTAATGGCTAGTGACCACAACATCATCATACTAATGGTTAGTGACCACAACATCATCATACTAATGGTTAGAGACCACAACATCATCATACCTGAATACGTAATAGAGCTGTAGGAATGAGATAGACTAAGAAACACGTTGAGGAAGATGAGAGACTACGGCCATTGAGGACTTCATTAAAGTGAGGGATTTTTCTAGTTAATATTCAATGAGAAAACTGAAGGAAAAGAAGAGAACTGAGATGAAGAAAGTAAATGCTCAGAAACAGGCAGATGAAACAGAGCTGAACATCCAACTTAAAAAGGACTTGGACGAGAGAGGCAACGCTAATCCTCTGGTTTAATAAGTGCAAAGAAAATAGGTGCAAAGATGAAATAGGTGAAAATAGGTGCAAAGATTCAAAGAAAAAGACCCAAAAATACATGAAAAAGTAAAGAGATATGGGAATAGAGGGAAACAGAGATGCCTTAATTAAAGAGAGACATTGATGAATGCACCAAGAGGCAGGAGGGAAGTTGAGTTATAATCATATATGGGAAGAACACACAGACCATGTAAAAAGGTTCAAGAGAGACACAAGAGAAGTCTCGTGGACACCCCGTCCTCAGACCAAGTCCATTCCATCCAGCGGTCGACCCCAAAGACGCATTCATCAATGTTAACATACTGTTCTGTCAAAATAGAAATTTCTCATATATAAATTAATATTGTTAAATGTTAGTATACGGTGCATATTTAGGCATTGGTTAGGTTTGGTTAGGTGTTTAGGTTCTGTTGACGATTATTTGTATTTGTAGTACGTGGGTGAAGCATTTACAGCGTTGTGGTTCGAACACAAGTCGTCAGCAAAACACTTATTCGAGAAGTGTTCGGACGCCATCAATTGTGAGTCGTTTTTAAACCGTTTTTCATTCATAAACAGCTGGGGTTTAGCGGGTGCATGGAATGGTCTTTGTGCCTTTGTTTATGAGGACGGGCTGCCTGTGGAAAACGACAAGGAATTACGTGAGGAACTCTACAAAAGATTTCTGGAGGTCTTGACAAAGAAACCAACGTAGATACCTGAGTTGAGTAAACAAAGATAAGACGAAATAAAACGACGATGCAAAGATAACAGTTCATGCCAAAAACAGATGAGGACTGCAGAATGTTACAGGAAGAACTTAGTAAACTCAAGGAGTGGACAAACAAATGGTTGCTGGAGTTAAATTCCAGCAAGTGTAAGGCAATGAAGACCGGGAAGGGAGACAGTAGACCAGAAGGTGTCTACATCATATATTTAAGGTAACTGCTGGAATCAGAGAAAGATTTGTGAGTATAATTCCCACACTAACACCAGAGACAGACACAGGCAGGACGAGAACTCCACCACACGGAACACTTACCAACATTTGGACACATTCTAGGTAATCTACCCAGCTCTTCTTAGACCACTGCTGGAATATGCAGCACCGGCCAGGAACCCATATCTTGTGAAGCAAAAACTAAAATTGGAAACTTAAAGAGGTCTGAGACTAGACTAGTACCAGAGCTAAGAGGGTTAAGTTATGAAGACAGGTTGAAAGATCTGGACCTCACAATCCTGGAGGACAGAACAAAACAGAGGAGAAATGATTACAACATACAAAATACTGAGGGGGAATAGGGAAAGTGGACAAGAATCCTCTCAAGTTGAGAGACATTAGGCCGAGAAAACAAAAGTAGAAGCTGGAAAAATATAGGAGTCGAAGAAATTTAAGGAATTACTCGTACCCAGGAGGCCTGGTCGAGGACCGGGCCGCGGAGACGTTGAGCCCCGAAATGATCGCCAGGTAAGGTACCCTGTACGCGTGGTCAACACGTGGTATGTACAGAGAGACGCTCTTGTACAAGCCACCTACACCTTGGGGTTAGGCCAGCTACTACAAGGAACGCAACAGCCACGACAAGGCTAGGAGGCGGGGGCCAAAAGCTAGAGCTCAGTCCCCTCCCGTAGTCACTGACAGGTAAACAATGATAAGTAATTACACACTCATCCTCTCATCATGCTCTCACTCAGGGAGCCGGTCGGCCGAGCGGACAGCACACTGGACATGTGATCCTGTGGTCCTGGGTTCGATCCCAGGCGCCGGCGAGAAACAATGGGCAGAGTTTCTTTCACCCTATGCCCCTGTTACCTAGCAGTAAAATAGGTACCTGGGTGTTAGTCAGCTGTCACGGGCTGCTTCCTGGGGGTGGTGGCCTGGTCAAGGACCGGGCCGCGGGGACACTAAAAAGCCCCGAAATCATCTCAAGATAACCTCAAGATAACTCACTCACTCACTAACTCAGCTAATACACCAGACAGTAAATCCACTGTTCTACTCCTGTCTCCCAGCTGGCGTGCCCACGCTAACTATAGTTTTATGCGCCTCTTCCGGTAAGTACCTTTGATGTTCCGAGAGAGAACCAGCTGGCAGACAGCAGGCGGGGCTAAAATGGTTTGTGATGTCTGTGTCTGCCTGATCTTTTTTGTTCTTTGTCTGCTGAATAGTCTTTCCGGCTGGGTGCCTGCTTTTGGTAATTTTTTAGTTATTATTTTAATAATAATTATTTGAGTGTTTATATTATA